CACCCCTTCAATCTATTCAGGTGTCCCGGGTTAATGAGTTGGTGGCTCTTGACATTCTGGGTCCCTTCCCTGTCACCGCTCGGGGAAATAAGTACCTGCTGGTTGGGGTTGAATATTTCACCCGTTGGCCTATGGCCTGGCCCCTCCCCAACCAGTCGGCAGCAGCCATTGCGGAGGCGTTTCTCCAGGGCTACGTCCTGGATAAGGGTGCCCCGGAACGGCTGCTAACCGACCAGGGAAAGAACTTTTCGTCCAATCTTCTGCGGGAGGTTTGTGACCTTTTGTGCACACAGAAGGTCCGGACTTCCCCCTACCACCCGCAGACCGATGGTATGGTCGAACGTCTACACCGGACCATTACCTCTATGTTGTGTCATCAGGTAGACGACACACAGTTGGATTGGGACCTGAGGATTCCCGGAGTTCTGGCCGCATATAGGTTAGCGCCTCACGCGGCCACGGGCTATTCGCCCTTCTACTTAATGTACGGCAGGGAAGTCGACCCCCCCGTGGAGGTGCAATTGCGGGTCCAGTCTGCGGCTTCTCGCTCGAAACTGTCCGAACACGCTCAGTTCAATATTCGGAAGTTGGTCGAGGCGAGGGTGGCCGCGCAGGAAAATTCCAGGGCAAGGCAACGGGCCAATGAGCGTCTGTATGATCGCCGGGTTACGGTGTATAAATGGGCGGTAGGGGATAAGGCGTGGCTGCACTGCCCGCAGGTGCCGCTGTCGACGTCATCGAAATTGCTGCGGCCCTGGCGGGGGCCGGTCGACATTGTTCGGGTCGTTCGGGACCAGTGTGTTAGGGTCGCATGCGGACGGCGTTCTTGGTACGTGCACCCCTCGCGCCTGAAGCCCTACGTCGCACCACGCACTCACACACCTTCATCTCGCAGGGGCCGGCCGCGTGACGTGTCCGGCAGGTTGGGGGAGGGGCCTCGTGACCCCCTTGTTGTTCCAAAACCCCCTGCCACTCTTTCGGATGCTGCAGGTGTGAGTCCACCTAGGGTGGTCTCGCCAGAGGAGCGGGAAGCGAGCCGGCCGCCTGTCCAGCAGGAAGACGGCTCGCGGGCTGTGTCCCCGGGGCCTCGAAACGTGCCGGACGCCCGTCATCTGGGCCCTCCTGACCCTCCGCAAGGAACGCTGGCTTCTGGCGATGGACCCGCCACACGGACTCGTTCGAAGGGTCTCAGGTTCTCCTGAGACCTGTCGCAGACACACTGCCTCCTCACGGGGCCTGGGTGTTCGAGTCACCTTGTTCGTTGGTGTGGTGTGTCCGCGGTGTTCTTGTGTACAGGGGGGTTGGGGTAATTTATCGGGGATAGTTGTGTTGTTGTTGTTGTTCTGTTGTTGTTATTGTTGTGTTGAGGCTCACGCATTGTTATTGTCATGTTCAGAATTCCTGGTTCGCGAGTTAGGGTTGGGATGTGGATAGTGATGCAGCCGGGACGGCTGCGTGCTGTATAGGGGGGGGTGATGTGGTGGTCAAGGTTGACACCAAGGTTGACACAGGTCACACAGGTCACACAAGCTAGGGGAGAGGTACGTACCGATCTGGACCGGCCCGGATTGGCGGGGACGAGAGGTGGTTGGAACGGCTCTGAGGGGAGGGGGCTGGCGAGAGCCAGGGCCCGAGACACCCCCGCCCCTCAGAGAGAGGGGATATATAAGACGGCTCCCGAGAGAGCGGGGGGGGTCGATCGGAGGAGAAGCTGAAGAAGGAGAGCCGGAGATCCTGGACCCCCAAGCCTCAAGGATGCCGCCCCGCTGGAACTGAGTGGGCTGAGTAGCTGTAGGCTAGGGAAGAGAGTAGCTGAGTAGCTGTAGGCTAGGGAAGAGAGTAACAGAGTAGCTGGAGGTTAGGGAAGGAGAGAAATGAGAATAGAGCCGGAGGCTGTACCTCCCTAGGTTGTGTGTGTGGGACTGTCTCCCCAGTGAGTCCTGAGGACTAGTGTTATCGGAATAAAAGCGTGTGGCCTCTACGAAGTGTCAGTCTCATTCAAGGATATTACACATCGACTAAAGCGCTCAGTCTCGTGCAGGCCGCCAGCTCATAAAAAAAACTGCATGTGTGAGAAATTGTGTCGTTTTAGACGACTCACAAAGTTAAGAAAATGTGGGCTAGCCTGCCGGTTTTTTGAGCAGGTGGTCTGATTAAAGCCGAGATATGTTGTAAAGGTGATTCTGCACACCTGTGCATATTGTTAAATCAACTGTGTTCTGACCAGCACTAATTGTTCTGTTGTGAAGGGTTTTCTCGTCGCAGATTTTAATCACAGATCAGTATTGAGGAGTGTTAGGATTGTTTATTTTTTCTTCCTCAGCACCTTAGTAACGATGTAGTTTAGGGTCATTATACTCAGGATTTGTCTCGTAACTATACATAAGTCTTTATTAAACAACTTCAGTAGATTTCAGTAGCAACAACGAAGCCAACCTTACAGCAACAGTAACCATTCTCTTCCTCAACTATCTCACCCCCTGTTAATGTTACACGTACGTGCGCGTTTTCTACACATGCCATGTCCTGACAATTAAATCGGCCTCGATTTAGAGAGAATGAAGAACTGTCATTTACAAACAATAGCAGAAACAATATCGATGTTAAAGATCAGCGAACTAAACCATTCTCGGGCCATAATGTTCACAATTTCTCCGAGAACATTGGCGTCAAATTATTAGCGACGGACGACGCCGACGACGCTGCCATCTATGGAATGACGGAGAGGTTGAATTATCTGACGTAATGTCTGTAGAAATCAAAACATTAGCACTGCCGATGTCGATCTGATGCTGTCACGATGGCAATTCGGGTGACATCTCCACCTCACTGCAACCTGTCATTCTCATCCTCTCATCGATGATGCTACAACTTCAGTTTAGACACGTGGCGTAGCGACGTGTACCTTCAGTTGGCTTCTTGATCCAATTCTCAACACGATACGTGTCAAAAGGTTGCACCTTATTGACTACCGATTGTACCTTGAACTTGGGGTGCATGCGTGTCAGAATGGTGTGCATCGGCTCCCATTACATGAAAATTACATCGCTCATGGTGCACTTCATGTTACCATGGTGATGCTTATCATAGGTCCTCTTTATATACCACCGCTTCTGTTCTATACGTTGATGTGCAACTGCTTGAAGTTCAGCTGGTGGTTGCCAAGGCCCGACGTCATCCATGTCTGCACAATGATAACTCCATCTTCAAAACGAGCTGTGTAACCATGGCCGAGTTGGAAGGGGCTCTCCCTTGTCGTTCTGTTGACAGCACAATTTAGATTGCATTCAATGATCTTCATATTGTCATCCCATCATGATCATCTTCCCTCCGGCTCAGGGTCACGATGAGAGGCGCCATCCATTCTATTAATATGCTCAATTTGTCCATTGTGTTGTGGGTTCTAGATTTGAAGTTTTAGTGACTGCAAGGATCCATACTCTTTGGTTTTTTCGGTAAAGTCACGTAGATTAAAAAAATAAACAAATAAATTAAATCACGACGTTTCGGAGGCAACACAAGCGTGTGTCTTCAGGTGGAACCGTCACAACAAAATGACTGTATCAAGTGAAGAGAGCTCTAAGAGACACAACCTTATATACTGGTTAAGGGGAGGAGCCAGGATGGGCCGTGGGGGGGGGTATAAGCTGGTGAGGTGACGACCTGTGCTGCAGCTGCGGCTACGCCTGGAGCTTGGTGATGTAGATGGCGGAAGTAGATAAGTAAGCGAGGATTAAGCCGCCTTTTGTTATGCTCGCCGGTGGGTTATATTCCAAAGCAGGCAAGCAGTGTGTGAAAAGCTAAAAAAAACTACTATGGCTGTACAATTATAAGGCAGCTAGAGTTTGGCTTGGTTAATGACATCTTTCCAATGATTGCTTAATTTAAAACCATCCTCTCGGTTGAAGTTGTGTCTATGTTTGTATATCTGGATGGCTTCATGGACAAATCTTTGGTAGTACCCGGGAGGTTTGCAGAGTACTTTGGTATCGGAGAAAACAATATCATGAGAACCCGCTGTGTTGAAACAATGATCAGCCACGGCCGAATAATTCGTTCTGCCGTGTTTCAAATCTGATTTGTGCTCGCGAATTCGTTCAGAAATGTCGTTTCGTCTCCCCGATATAGCAGTCACCACAGGTACAACTCAATTTGTAAACACCGGGGTACTGTAAGTCAGGAATGACATCCTTTACGGATGGGATCAGATCACGGATTTTGTGTACTGTATTGAAACGGACCTGGATATTGTGTTTGTTTAGAATTTTGGAAATATGTTTGGTAACGCCTACTATGTATGGCAACGTGATGATTTTGATCAGAGTTTCAGGTGGTTGTTTCTGCATGGTGGGAGAAACAGCTTGGCGGATAATACGGTCAGAGTATCCGTTCATCTTGAGGGCCAGATGTAAATGTTTTAATTCACTGGCCAGGTGGTGTTGGTCTGAGATGCAATGAGCCCTATGGTATAGTGTTTTGATGAGGGAATTATTTTGAGCTGGGTGGTGGTGGGAATCAGGCTTCAAGTAGGAATCTGTGTGGGTGGCCTTCCTGTAAACAGAATGTCCCAAAGAGCCATCAGGCCTCCTCTCAAACAGAACATCCAAGAATGGTAGCTTGCCATCTTTCTCCACTTCCATGTATGAATACAGAATGTTATCCCACCGTTGCCACCAGATGTGGAAGAGTGCAGCACACATAAGTAGAGTTGCTTCAAGGTCAGCTTTATTCACACTCACTTTGGATTGTGTAAGATTTTCGATCTCTCATGTGACACCATTGTCTTTTGTCTATGTATTTGCTTCATTGTATATTTAATTTGACTTATTTTTCTTTTGTAATTTTGGTAACCCAGATCGCCCTTGCAAATGAGACTATGCTTGTCTCTTGAGTTCTCACCTGGTTAAACAAATGAAACTTGAAGTTACACAAAACATTAAACAGACAACTGTTTTGTTATCGCTTTATTAATTTGGTTGTTGTTTAATTATATATTTCAGATATGCCAAACAGTACTTGATGGCATCAGTAACCTGGAACGTAATCTTCAGGAGATCTCAAGTGAGAGGACCCCACTTCACCAGATCCCACCTTGCATGAGCTCGTCCACTTGTAAAATGGGCTCAGTCTACATTTACAAACGAGATTACAGTTGCATGAAATATATTTTTTCACGAGTGGCACAAAAGTGGGGAAGGCACTTTAACAACACTTTGCAGACAGTGGCGCAAAAGCAAGTCGATGAAATAATAGAGCACAGCCGGAATGTGGCTCACAGTGGCATGGTTACTATGGGCTGCACGTGGACTAATGGAGCCTATTACACGTATATACACGTGTAGCTCTACTTACAACTGCCGCCACTACGCTAAAGAGTGCTCACACGCAGAAAAAAAACAGCTGTACACGCGAAAATGTACACGTGTTTTTTTTGTTTTAAATACTCTTTTGACTTACAGTGATAACGCTTGTGCCTTTAGGACTGATTTCTGATTCTTTGTTCTCCCCCTGTTCTACATTACGCTCCTCTGGATTCTCCAATTGTCTTCCATAGCTCAAGGAAACATACAATGTAACTCGTATTTGTCAAACATTTACACGATTTGGATCACACACAGTCGCAACACAGCGACTTAACAAAATATTTCCCGACTGCAAAAACTTGGCAGGACTCAGGGAGGCTTTCCCGGGTAAATTAGCTTAAATAAATATTTTATTAGAGTGTTTGTGGTCGGCCGACCTGAAAGTGAAACTTTAAGAGGATTATTCTCTCCAGCTTTTACGTTTTGATTATCACAACAATGTATGTTTTTTAAGTATGTATGGTAAAAGAAAGTATGATATTGTTCTGCTTGCTCACCCAGAGTGCCTCACTGAGTGTCAAGACAATTGTTCAGGAGCATCCTGCCAAGTTTTCCCAGTCGGGGGCAATATTACTGCTGTGTGCTATTCTAATCGAGTAATTAGCGAATACGTTTTCAGCATTAAGATATTTGGCTAATACCAGTTACATTGTAATGGTTTTCTTGGCCTATAGAAGAAACCAAATAAGCCGGAGAAAATCCATGCAGAACAAGTGGAGAACAGACTCCACACAGAAAGATACCCTCGTCAGGATTTAAACACACACCATTCTTGTTGTCACCTGACATACAGTGCGGGAAAAAAGTATTTGATCCCCTGCTGATTTTGTTCGTTTGCCCACTGACAAAGAAATGATCAGTCTATAATTTTAATTGTAGGTTTATTTGAACAGTGAGAGACAGAATAACAACAAAATCCAGAAAAACGCATGTCAAAAATGTTATAAATTGATTTGCATTTTAATGAGGGAAATAAGTATTTGACCCCTCTGCAAAACATGACTTAGCACTTGGTGGCAAAACCCTTATTGGCAATCACAGAGGTCAGACGTTTCTTGTAGTTAGCCAACAGGTTTGCACACATCTCAGGAGGGATTTTGTCCCACTCCTCTTTGCAGATCTTCTCCAAGTAATTAAGGTTTCGAGGCTGACGTTTGACAACTCGAACCTTCAGCTCCCTCCACAGATTTTCTATGGGATTAAGGTCTGGAGACTGACTAGGCCACTCCAGGACCTTAATGTGCTTCTTCTTGAGCCACTCCTTTGTTGCCTTGGCCATGTGTTTTGGGTCATTGTCATGCTGGAATACCCATCCACGACCCATTTTCAATGCCCTGGTTGAGAGAAGGAGATTCTCACCCAAGATTTGACGGCACATGGCCCCTTCCATCGTCCCTTTGATGCGGTGAAGTTGTCCTGTCCCCTTAGCAGAAAAACACCCCCAAAGCATAATGTTTCCACCTCCATGTTTGACGGTAAGGATGGTGTTCTTGGGGTCATAGGCAGCATTCCTCCTCCTCCAAACACGGCGAGTTGAGTTGATGCCAAAGAGCTCCATTTTGGTCTCATCTGACCACAACACTTTCACCCAGTTGTCCTCTGAATCATTCAGATGTTCATTGGCAAACTTCAGACGGGCATGTATATGTGCTTTCTTGAGCAGGGGAACCTCGCGGGCACTGCAGGATTTCAGTCCTTCACGGCGTAGTGTGTTACCAACTGTTTTCTTGGTGACTATGGTCCCAGCTGCCTTGAGATCATTGACAAGATCCTCCCGTGTAGTTCTGGGCTGATTCCTCACCGTCCTCATGATCATTGCAACTCCACGAGGTGAGATCTTGAATGGAGCCCCAGGACGAGGGAGATTTGACAGTTCTTTTGCGTTTCTTCCATTTGCGAATAATCGCACCAACTGTTGTCACCTTCTCACCAAGCTGCTTGGCGATGGTCTTGTAGCCCATTCCAACTTTGTGTAGGTCTACAATCTTGTCCCTGACATCCTTGGAGAGCTCTTTGGTCTTGGCCATAGTGGAGAGTTTGGAATCTGATTGATTTATTCTGTGAACATGTGCCTTTTATACAGGTAACAAGCTGAGATTAGGAGCACACTCTTTAAGAGTGTGCTCCTAATCTCAGCTCTTTAAGAGTGTGCTCCTAATCTCAGCTCGTTACCTGTATAAAAGACACCTGGGAGCCAGAAAGCTTTCTGATTGAGAGGGGGTCAAATACTTATTTCCCTCATTAAAATGCAAATCAATTTATAACATTTTTGACATGCGTTTTTCTGGATGTTTTTGTTGTTATTCTGTCTGTTACTGTTCAAATAAACCTACCATTACAATTATAGACTGATAATTTCTTTGTCAGTGGGAAAACGTACAAAATCAGCAGGGGATCAAATACTTTTTTCCCTCACTGTATATGAATGTAGAGCTGTGCATGTTCCTCGTGTGCGTGCATTGTATGTTTCGCGAGTTCTGATCCTTCCGCTGTGTTTGCTGGTGTCGCAGTGACGTCGAAGGTGGACGAGTTCACAGAGGTGGACTACACCCTCGTGAGCCCCCCCGACATCACGGCAATCACCATCGACATGAACTGCAAGGTTACTCCATTCTCTTGCTGATATTCTCCACGATTGCACTCGTGATTATTTTGTGGTAATCGCTGCCAGGTTTGCACTCCACGTCGGGAAGCACCTCACGGAATTAGGGTCCTGGGTTCAATCCCCGACTCTGGTGCCTTTCTGTGTGTAGTTTGTTGGTTCTCCCCCTGTTCACACACACACTGTAACTGATATTGGCCAATGATCCAAAACCTGAAAAATCACCTGAAAATTACCCAATTTTCAGGTGATATCACCCACTGCTCTGAAAACATGGCACGACCCTCGAGAAAAACGTATTTACACTTAGTGAGGGTTTCATGGTTAAACAAGCGTAGTCATAACAATGATAATCAAAGCCATTGTGTTTTCTCGTTTCCCACAGGGAGAGTTCTACAGCCTGGCACACAGAGCGGAGTTCCCAAAGCCACCGCCCCCTATGGACCTCGGGGCCTCAGCAGACCGCATGCTGTACTTTGGCCTATCTCAATACCTGTTCAACAGTGCCGGCTTCGCGTACCACACCTCTGATGCCCTCAAATGCGTCGTCAATGATCAGATGGTGAGGAAATCCATATGTGGATGAAATGACTGCTTCCTTCTTTCTATACCTCTCCCTCCACATACAGAAAAAAAAAACTTTTTGTATGCATAATATTGGCCACGCAGCCTTCTGGGAGTAAAATTTTGTAAGCAGCATTGGAACGTAATCTATCTATATATAAAAGGGAAATTTGTGATTGTGTGTCTGTTCAAAATGTTTAGCATTCTTCCCGACATGCAACAAACTTGAAATTTGCCATGTGGGTACTTTCCAGACTGTACACCATGCAAAAATTATAAAAATAGACTTTTATATTTTTGGGGGGGGGGGGCGCAATAATGCATATTTTTTGCACGTCAAGTGAACTGTGACGTCACATCTGTCATGTCGCCCGCGCATGTGCAGTGCTTGGCGCGTTGCGCTACGAACCCGGCGACCCGAGTTCGATTCCCGCTCACGGCCACCACCGGTGTACGATTATTTCAGCCGGTCCTGGGCCTCCCCTAGGTCGGCTCAGCCTCGTGGCGATATAAAAAAAGCACATTTGTCGTAATCATCATTTATTTTCCCACGATTCGCAACCCCAGTCAGAAAGTCTTGCGGAGTGCGTCAAAAACCAGTTCTCATGATGTCGAAGCAGTCGGAAGACGAATGTTCAATGAGCAGCTGAACACGAAGCTTCACAGTATGTTGCCGTATAGCAGCACCCAGCCTGATGAATATTGGCTCCGTATTCCAAAGGCAGATTTCACTCGTGCGGTGGACTTAGTCGGATTTTAGACTGTTTTATGAGGACCCATGTGTTATGCTGCCACTGATATACTGCCAGTTTCGTCTATTGGTTGAATACAAGCAAACTCTGGACCGGTTTCAATATTCAGTATTTCATCAGCAGAGTCACACTTGCTTGAACCAATGCTGGTGAACTGCCAGCCGTTAATAGGCAAGGACCCTGTCCTTTAGTTAAGGGTCATAGTAAGGACGTGTGGCCGATGGGATGTGTAAAATATATTTTTTAAATGTTGTGTGGAGAGACAGATATGTGAAGGAGGCGAATTGTCTTCTCGTTTATTTTGTTACATTTTAAAGTTTGCTTCTGATTTATAAATTTAAAACTACATTTTTTAGAACTGCTTTTTGTGTCTAGTTTGTTGTCACACATCCGATTAGCACGGGCTGGCTACGCACGGCGGTGCAAAATAAGTTCAACACACATTTACAGAACTTGAAGTTCACTCCAAGTAATGGCATCAGCTGCTCACCTTATGGTAGAGATGTTGCCCATAAAGTGCATGCTGTGACGCTGCATGGACACGTGTGTTTCTGTTGTAGCTGCCGAAAGATGCTCCTCTCCACCTGAACATCTCCAGCCTGGCTATACTGATGCCCAAGGTATGATTCCATTCCTTACGCCTGTCCTGGTGGGATGTTTTTGGCATATATCTTTGTCTATTTACATACGAGTGCAAATTTCCATTTTCACATTCCTTTAAATTAACCATATCGTGCAGATTCCCTGCAGACACGCGACTTAACAACTTTCCATGAGAATCAACATTGTCGACAGAGCCATAGACAGTGCCTCGCACGATTGCTTACGATGCGTGACAAAGGTGTGTTTATTACTCGGGCTGATGATTACAGCTGGGACAGTCGGCCGATTTAAATCGAATAGACTCGACTCGTAATAAACTGCTCGATGACTTGGGACCGGCTGCCTGCCGAAGGCGGACCCCCCCCTCCCCCCACGTGACCCACGCCCGGCAGGACGTGGCCAGTGAAGCCCGAGACTTCAGCGAACACTGCCCATCACCTTCCCCGGAGTTGAGACTTTTTTGTCAATTAATTTAATGGATTGTGATAACTCGACGAATCGGACCAATGATTGGCAATCGATTACCTAAATAATCGGATAGCAGCCCAGCTCTGCTGATAATTATGCAATGTAATATATGTAGAGTCTGTTCTCCTCTAACGCGGTAGTTGTGTTCCTGAAGAACACCACGTTACTGAAAGAACGCGTTGTAATAAATCATATATAACACAGGGTAACGCACAGTCCGCAATAACACGTCAGTTACGTATATGCAGGCTGAGCAAAGACTGAGGCATGTGGGTAGCATCTAGAAGCTTCCAACAGCATTCCACCTTGTGTGATGCTACACCGAGGTAGCCACACAACAGCTTATTCCTGTTTAACACGTAGGAGGCTTTCACGACCAATATCATCCATAAGAGTTTTTTTTGGGTTAGATCGCGTAAATATATAAATGTGTCTTTAAAACCCTCCACCACCCGACACAGCCAACTAGTCAGGGTTGTCACGTAAATAGAACGTGGCCAATTCGTCACAAGTACAGCACACCGGTGTGTTGGAGAGCCAAGCCACAACATTTACAATCTGAGTACGACGTTTCGCCAGTAATTACAACTAGCTTCATCAGGCGACAGCCATATCTGTGGAGAAGTCTAACTCTTCCGTTCCTTATTCCTACTCGCGCGACGTAGTGATATTCACTCAATCGTGTTATATCCAATTTGCGTCATGAAAGCACGCGTTATTGGAGAACAGACTGTACATGTATTATTATAACTATGCTTATTTACCCAGTCTCACGAGGTCTTGTGACTCTCTCTCCAAGGAAGGGCTTGCCAAGTGTCTGCTGTCGGTGACGATAATTGCTACGTAAATTCCCAGCTGAGTAATGTTCCAAATAACTTTTTGAAAATTTGTAGCATGAGATGTACGTAGATAAGGGCTCTAATTATCAAGGGAAGAGAAGCTATACCGTGCTGTATTGGTGTAACGTGACGTTGTGTTTCTAGTTACGGAAGATGTTTCCCGATCTCCCCGTGGAGCTGTTGATTGCATCCCGCGAGCCCCCGTCTCTCTTGATGACTGCGGGGAACCTCTCCCTGTGCGTCGACGCAGCGGTGGACGTTGTGGCCGTGTGGCCCAACAGCTCACAGGCATTCCTCTTCTCCCTCGACGTGGTAAGCATTGGGAACTGTCGCCGAGATTATTTCGTTTTCAAACAGTTGCTGAGCACAAGCCCAACAGCTCAAAAACGTCAAATGGCCAGAAAGCAACATAACTGTTGAATTTAGACTTAAAACGTTCGTGACTGCAGGAATAAATGTTGCTTTTATTATTTTAAATGTATTCTTTTTGTTTGTATTTTTTTTTTATCTACGTGACTTTACCGAAATAACAAAGAATATAACTCTTGAAGTAATGAATACAATAGGAGTCAATGCGTTTTTTATGAATTGAGAGTTTGAATATAAGAGTTTGAGAAATTAGATTACGGGAATGGAATTCCAATGTGGATTGGTGCGAGCGAAGCGGAAAGATAAGTGTTGTGATCTGCAGTGTGGCGAATGGGTGAGTGCATGAAAGGGTGAGTGTGTGCGTGAGTGGTGAGACGGTGAATGACTGCCCTAGGAGCTCACGATCACAATTCACTATTTCATCTCATCAACAAAATTATTTGAAGCACCACACCTTTTAATGCATTTCAGGGAAAGAGTGGTGATCTGATCTCCAACCCCAGGAACATGTCTGCAGGTTTTATGAGCATTTCTCTGATGGCTTAGGGAAGGGAAACCCCTACAGTACAGATTGAGTAAGGATTGAGTAAGGATTGCTTGACTTTGCTGGGGCTGCTGTAGCTCAAATATTGGAGTAAATATCCGGCCCTGCAAGGAGTTGGCTAATGTGTCATCTGTTGAGGAAGTAAGAAGAGCAGAAAAAGTGCCAGGTGGAAATTACCTCCCAAGCGAATTATTGAGGGTGTAAATTTTGTGTAAGCTCCCCGAGGTGGCATCATTACATTCCCCTGGGATACAGGACAGCTTCAACAGGAATGGAAGGATCGGAATTATACTCTGGTGGCCCCCCTCTTTAGTAATGAGGATCATACAGATTGCAACAACTACAGGGGCATCTCCCTTGCCAGGCACACTGAGGAGAGGCTTGCGGAGTATAAATTTGGTTTAAGGTCAGGGTGGTCCTGCACGGATGCCATATTATCTGTCTGTCTGCTACAGCACAGGTGTAGGGAATTCCAACAGGACCTACATCTCTGCTTTATTGACCTGGTCAAGTCCCTGACTCTCTGCTCGCAATCATTAAGAACCTAAGGACTTTCGTGATGGTGGGCAGGCCCGGGTAAAGCTACGTTGCCAGGAGTCGGATTCATTCCCAGTTCACCTTGGAGTGTGACAGAGATGTCGTCTGGCACCAACACTATTTAACATAATCTTTGACCACATAGTTCGAGAAGCTTTCCATGGCTGTACCAGAGAAACTTCCATTTGGTACGCTACTGGGCAGTTGGAGGCAATTTCCCTCCAACAACAACAGAGGGCACAGGTGGTGCATCTGCCAGTTATCTCAGTAAGTCAACCCATGGCACCTGGGTCTGTCCCGTGACTTCTTGTCAACGAGCTTTCGACACTTCAAGTGGCTTCGGATTGCACCTGGCCTGGCACAAACGCCAAGGTGATGTCATCGCCACTTAGTGGCAAATGGCGGCTGTTGCTGTGTTGTTGTGACCTCCAGTAGACAAAACAGCTAATATGATAGTAGAACTGTCAAAGTGTGAGGTGACTGACCGCGAGTGACTGGAGTGAATAAGTGAGTGTTGGATCATCAATCATCCCTGGCTGCTTTACTCTGAATCCCTGGGTGCATGCCCCTCCCCATCCCCTGTGATACGCGTGGTGCTCGCTTGCCGCCACTCTCTGTGTGGGTCATGTACATGGGTTGCCATGTTCTTGCAGAATGTTTCTCTTACCACCAAACTCACAATCGATGCTGACAAGCTACATGGCATCCTTGAGCTGGACAGGTAAATTGCAAGAACTGTATTGCGACACCATTGTCACACAAAACACACGTTGATGCACATCTAACCTTTGAAATGTATTATTGTACATGTGTTAATGAAAGCTCAGGATCTAAAATAATCCCAAATTTAGTTTAACATGTAAGCTTTCACGACCAATAATATCCGTAACAAAGGCTTTTTTGGGTTAGATCACGTAAATATAAATCGCCTGATGAAGCTGTTTGTAATCACCAGCGAAACGTCGTACTCAAATTGTAAATGTTGTGGACTTACTCTCCAGCGCACCAGTGTGCTGAACAAGTAACTAATTGGAACGTTTTGTTAACGTGACAAACCTAACTAATTGACTGTGTCAGGTGGTGGCGAGTTTAACGACACATTCAAATTTACGCAATCTCACCCAAAAAACCTCGATTATGAATCCCAAGGTTGCGTACCCTTTTTGCCAACATAATATTAAATTCACATCCACAATGAGCAGCACATGGGCGACAGGATAATTGTGTCCCCACACGATAAAACCTCATAATCATGACAGAAAAATAGTTTGGGCTAGAAAACCATTCGTTTAAAACAACACAGAGCAACGTGTCAACAGCGCTCAGCCTATGAGCTTTACTCAAGAGCCATCGGCAGGTCCAGGGCCACGATGCATTTCTACAAAACCCGCTGAAGTTTGTTTTTGTCGGTGTAATAACCAAAACATGCGTGCTGTCTACTTCAGTGGACGGAAAAGATCATGTGACGTCATTCACAAGAGTTAGGCCATTGTGTGTCCATATCACGGTCTAATTTTCCCAAATTTGAATTATCCTGCTCAGCACCATAATTACAATGACAAAAATGTGTATATTATTTATATATTCACGAACATATAGAGAATTTTTATATAAATGCTTACAATGCAGTACTGCATTCCAGACATTTGGAAAAGTGATATTTCTGTACTTTTAACTTGTATATGATTATGTGTACACAGCATTAAAATCAGTGAACTCAAGTCTGCAGTGGGTTCTGTACCGGTAAGTGTGTTTTTTATTGTATCTTGGAAATTGTGCGACCAAATTCCTGACACAGCAACATTCAAATGTTAGAGATGTAAATGAGCCCATCTCGGTGAAAATAAGAATCCTAACCGGGAGGCCATTATGGGAATTTAAATTATGCTCATCGCAGGATTTCAACTCAAAGCACTAGATTATTGGCCCAGTGACAAACAAGTGATTAAGGACGTTACATTTCAGGGAAGATTTAACAACACAGAGAGGCGTAGTCATCATGCCGTGCATGCATGCCATCTGACTACCACGCTGCATGTACAATGTTCTCAGGCTCAGTTCAGTTGCTCGATGGCACTGTCTTGCTTCCAAAGACTCATTAGTGGCTCAGCCATGGATTGCCTCAGACTCAGCTCATGGAAAAACCTGAAAATGGCTGGGACCGTGCTCAGAGTCGGCTCAAGTTGAGCACAGCTTCGAGCTGGCTGATCACTTGAGCCAGAGTCAAGCCTGAGCCGATCCGCGACTAAGAATATGGGCCTCAAAGTGTTCACGCATTCAGCTTTGTCGAGCTAGTGGCTTAACAAGACTGAGCGCATTGTACTTCCAACATTATGGTCATGTGACATGTATGCAAGACGCGATGGGAGTCATTCCTTCCTGCTGTTTGTGAGCACACCTTTGTGTTGTTATATTTACTTGTTTATATCCTGCACACATTCTCCGGTTGTGAAAGCTGGCAGGTTAGGAAGTTGTAGACAAAGTGGACACGTGAAACGAATGAAAACCAGTAGGGTGCCGAAAAATGTGAGTGCCATTGAAATACAGGGAAAGAGACCGAGGGGCCATCTAGGAACATGATGGAGTGAGACGATACGGATGTGGAGATGGATGTGAGGATTTGAGAGTGGTGGAGGAATACGAGAGAGATTGGAGGATGGGTGAAGGTGGAGGGACTGTCTGTAACCTCGGTAAAGATAAATCATATCTATCCTAGTGATTTTCTGAAATTGAATACATGATATAACGAAGTACAGTGATACCTCGGTTCACGAACTTAATTCGTGAACTGACTCTGGTCGTGAACCGAATTGGTCGTGAACCGAGGCACATTTTCCCATAGGGTTCAATGTAAATCCGGTTAATCCGTTCTGACCTTTTTTTTTGGTTTTTGAAGCACAAAAATATGAAACAAATGACAATACACATTACTGTAGTACAGTACAGTATAGTAATGTATAAAGAGAGAACACTAACCTTGCTTGAGATGACTTCTGGCATGGAGGAAGGCAGGTGGGAGGCGGGTGGGAGGCGGTTATTGTTTGGGAGTCCAGTACAGTAAGCAATCAAACGGGTGAACTGTACAATACAGTAAGTACAGTATTGTACAGTACAGTAGTACAGTACTGTATGTGCTAAAAAGCACACCAAAAAGCAAAAAGTCACTGAAAGTGTCTTCACAGTACTCACAGTACTTCTTTCTGTGTCTCTTCTTCTCTCCACGATCTTCCTACAGGAAGTCACGACCATGTGACAGCCTGGAAATAGCATTAAAATGGCCGCGGCTCCAGTTCGTGAACCGAAGCATATTTTTATGAACTTTTTTGTTCGTGAACCGAGTTGTTCGTGAACCGAAGCGTTCGTGAACCGAGGTATCACTGGTATTCATCATCTTGTTTATCCAAGTACGCTGCTAAACATGGACCTCTTTGTGTGTTTTTCACTGCAGGTGATGGCATTTCAGTTGGGCATAAAGTTCATTACTGAAAAGATCGTCCTACCAAAAGTGAACGGTAATTCATAAATTGTAAAGTTAATCATTGTCCAACTGCACTTTGTGTCTGCACATTTGTGAAAGCGAGGGAAGCATTCCCAAAGATAAGTTAATGTACTTATTCATCGATGTGGCAACACCGTTACTCAAGCAACATCTACACCTTTATGATGAACACGACTTTACGACCAGAACTTAACGGCAAATCTACACTGTCTGGGCCCAAGAGAATAGAGGGTATGAACTTCTTTCACATCTTATGTTATAATCGGAGGTGCGGATAAAGGACAACAAACTAAACAACACAAGTAGTGATAAAGAAATTCGTTTTCAATTTGGATGTAAAAGAGCATAGCACCAGTGGCTCCCTAAATATCGAAAAGAATACCATTCAGGACAGCCGTAAAGTGCATCTGAATGTGCACGATGCAGTGACCGTCTTTGTTCAATGGTTAGCCAAAAGTCGCTTCGAGGATGGCCGGAGTTTGCGTTATGGTCACCTTCTTCTTTGATATCGCCTTTGTAGAGCAACCATGAGATATTAAATTGTAAGTGATGTAGCCGTTCACTTTATTTATCTGAGAGTTGATTAAGTGCATGTACACCCACCCTCCACCTTCACATTTACTTATGTATGGGGCAGTGCAAATTTCTGTGGTCTATGGTGTTGGCATTCATAGCCACACAGGAGTCTCTGATTTTCCACTTGTGCATTCGGTGTCCAGTGCATATTCCATGGTTTGTGCCGATCTGGTTAAGTGCTGCCTATTATTCCTGTAGAAGATGGAAGCCGGGAAGGTTATTTAGAAGCAATAATTATTTTAAAATGTACGTCTCAATAATAATCACTGGACAGCCTACATTACGAGTGATGCGAGCTCCAGTGCAACATGGAAAGATTGACTCAACACGTTAATTTATGGCCATTAGGATTTAGACTTAAGCGGACCGCATGTGCACCAATGTAGACCTCCGGAGCTGTTAACTCTAAGCAACTGGCATGTGGATTGGCAGGAATTAAGCGTCTCGGGATTGGCTATCGAAACGTCTGGAGATAAAACTACCGTGGCCATAGAAGTGTATTCTCGGTGAAATCTTTCCTGACCAAAATGTGTTAACGATATTAAGGGGTTACAACTACATGTAATTACAGCCACAACACCGTATCCATACAAGGCTTACATTGATGATGAGGGATATAGGTGAGGTTCAAAACTGTGTTATGGGCACGCAGTCCAGACCTTCCCAAAAACCCTGGCTGTTGAAGCAGATATTTCAGCCTGCTGAGGAAAACATTGCAGCCATTTCCCTGCATATAATGCCTGACACCCGAGAATGAGGAGGCTTACCAGTCTTCACCTTGAGCTGCAAACATAGTCAGTGCTGCAAAGGTTGCACTATGATCATGCGTTTCTGAGAAAATGGAAACTGCCTTATCAGCCACAATCACAAATCACTATTTCATACCATTTAAAAAATAACTTGCAGCACCAACCTGCAGGTTTGCTGTGTATTCTGATATCTTGGGGAGGGTGGAACCACTCAGCTCAAACGAATGTCATGACCCTGCTAGGGCCATGGAACCTCAAAAGATAGGCACCACTTGTGAATAGCTCGCTGATGTGCCATCTGCTGAGTGTGAAAGATGAGCGATCCAGAATCAGACACGGGTAAAGCGGCATGCAGGGTTTTACATCCTAAGTGAACCGCTTAAGGAGGGTGACATGACATTATTACAGCTGCTTGGACCACATGATGGGTTCCCTAGGAATGGAAATATGCCCTAGTTGACCATGTTGATTGCCTCTTTTTTTAATCATGTGGACCGCACTTCTTAGAACCAGGTGGTTATGATGGGCGGTCATCTGGCAGAAGGATGCATTGGTCAGATCGACAAAATTAGAACCACGTTGTGGGGAAGTCATTGGTTTTTATAGTACGGATAGACGTAGCCCAGCAATATGAATGTGGAATTTCCACCTCTGGCTCAGGGATGTAGACAGGATGAGCACCAATTCGCCACTACTAATTTGAACAGGAATCACGTGACGTTTATTTATCTTATTTAATACTTGAGGTCCATATGATTGAAATAATTGTGCAACGTTGGTCCGAGCGTTTCTCATTCGTTGCTAACAAAAGTTTAGTGGTACCTCTAACTGGCAGTGCCGCACTACCCAGCTACCTCTGCGTTTACTGCGTTGCTCCAGCCGGCTTTACCAGTGCTGACCACAGCGGTGTGATCCCCTTTGTGGACCTCGCAGGGAGACTTCAGAAGGGCATCCCTCTGCCCATGATGAAGAATGTGAGGCTCGTGAATGCGCAGCTGCTCAACAAGGAGGTAAGGTCAGATTTCCCGGGAGAATTTGGAAATAATGATAGATTATTCGTTGGGATCGAGCAATTCCTACTCTGAACAGCGATGGTAGGAGCTGCCACGGTGTAATGGTTGCCATGCTGGACTTGCAATGCAGAAGTCGCCAGTTGATCCCATCTCCCATGCCGCAGCAGTTGAAACTATGACACAATTAATAACATTCACGAATATAATCATCATTAGTAACGTAAACATACGTTTGCCAGTATTAATATGGTAATAATACAGGAAGTGTTAAGATGTTCAAAGACCGTATAGAAACACCTATTACAAGGTATCAAATCAGCATTAACCACACAGACTCGTGGTAAAACATGCAAACAAATATGCTTCGATAATATATGCATTGTCCTTGAAACTGATTGGACTACAATCAGTTAAAACTGACAAAAATGGTCCCGTAGGTCAAACTGCTCAACCCCAGCTAATAATGCGTTGGCGTTTCCATCGCCAGTTGGCGTTCATTGCTCTATCGCACCGGTGAGACAAAGTCATCAAGGAGGTTGTCTCTGGTGTAGGACAATGCATACATCATCAAAGCATGTTTGTTTGCATGCTTTGCCACATGTGTGTGGTTAATGCAGACTTGATGCCTTGTAATATGTGTGTCGGTGAGCAAGAGGGCTGTGATTGAGTGGAGTGATTATTTCAAATACTGTACTGTATGTAGCTGTCAGGAGGTGATATCATAGGCTATATGGGGGCTTTTGCACTGTGGTTCTTCATGTGTGGTGTTACATTTGACGTTTTATTACTGTATTTTAAAATTATGCAGTCATTTGTATTTCTTATGTTTAAAAATGTTGTTCAAAGTTGAGTGCAAAACTTGGGCGGTGAAACATTTCTTAAGCAATTTAACGCGGGAGTCATTTAACGAGTGTTCACTTACCAAGCCATTTTCGTGGAACGTGTCTTGCTCGTTAAGCGAGACACGCCTGTATTAGTATTCGACATCTTAATACAGTACCTGTACTTGCGAAAGCTGTCCCATAGGTAAATATATCTTCGTCTAGACACAGACCGGCTGAAGTGAACGCAGTGAAGATGCCACGGTGACCACGTTGCTTGAGTGACGTCGTGGCGGCCATGATGCATGGGGGTTGTCTTCCTGGCAGCTGATTGGCTGTTGCAATGGGGGCGTTTACGCTTATGTGACGGAACGTTGCGTTCTTGCGAGAATTATTTTACTGGTAGGAACCACCTGGTTCCACCAGCCCACAGGGGATTATTGTGTCCGTCCGTCCGTCGTGCATCCAAAAATGGGAGGGGTGGGGCTGGGTGGAGAGGGGAGGGTGGGGAGGGGCTGGGTGGGGAGGGTGGGGCTGGGTGGGGGTGGGAGGGGTGGGGATGGGTGGGGAGGGGCTGGTCACCCCGTGGTGCCCTTATAAAACTCAACGTTTAACCTACTCACGCCGGCTTGTGCCCGCCCTCACAGTCGGCCATATTTGCGGAATACACCACGCCACCGTTGACCCTGGCCATTGACCGAGCAACCCAACGTTCCTACCAACTCCCTCCGCAGGAATGTGTTATTTTGTCTAAAGTCACGTCGGATCTGACTGCAATCGCAGCCTTAGGGACTTATGCTAAAGTTTTCGACTATTTTGGGCACTGGGATACTAGGATTACTGCCGGTTTCTCCAAAGGGAAACGTTTCCTTGTCACTCGCTGTGGCCTCCAAGAAAAACTCTTCTTCCTGAGGGGCTGAGCTCTGTGTACAGAAGAGGCCCTGTACCGTGCATGGATTGAATAGCTCGATGTGAAACAAGCACAACGCGACAACAATGATACCCACAGCTGCCACACTTCTGTAAGACAATAAAAAGTTGGGAAACATCATGCAAATAAACCAGACCACACAGGTTGAGAAGACCTCAACTCGAACCCATTCACAGTACACATCCAGGCACCGCCGAGTCTGTGGTGACAGACACCTCTTCCGAAGCTGCTCTGTTGTCCAAATCAGTTTTCTCGCTGGGCTTTTAAGGAGCTTCACGCAACAATCACTTTTGTTGAACGACCTTGTTTCCAGCCACAGTCGGCCGCAACTATTTGGTATTTGTACACTTGGTGTCTGCGGAATTTTATAGCGCAAGGCAATGGTCGTGAAGGAAAAGTTGTGTTTGATAGACAAGTCTGCAGTATGTTTACACGAGGGTGGGATGTGGCAATGTGTAATCCCAATTGAGTAATCGGCAGTGAAATATTACGAATTTGGCAAATTTGGACCGTGATGCCAATTCACACAATGGCCTACTCATTTTGAAAGACGTCACGATATCTTATAGTCTACTATGGGTGAAGCTGACGGCACAGAGTATTTTATGGTGAATGTACACCGCGCTAATAACCTGGACAGCCAGTGTGATTCGAACTGCTAAATTCTGCGACATGCGCTCAATCCACTGCAACTGCATCAACTGAGTTAGGCGTTGCGCGAGGTGCGCCCAAAGTACAACCACATTCAGAAGCCCAAAGCTCGGTGGGTGGTGTGTGAAGTACTATTACTGGTAGGAACGAAGTGAACCAGCCTACAATAGATTATATCGTCCGTCCGTCCGTCCGTGTAGCAACATCGCCCCCTACTGCAAAACTTGGCAGGACCCTACAAAAACCTTTAGACTCAGTGACGCTTTCCTGGCTAAACAAGTGTAACATTCCCTTATAATTCCCTGAGATAGCTTTTAATTAAAACATTTAAATTAAAAATTAACTCACAGCGGCCTAAAGCCTACAGCTAGGCCTAAAGCCTAGAACTAGGCCTCAAAATCTCCCTTCGTATCGTACCCCCGCGTGTGTGAAAGGGAGTTAATGTTTAACAATGTTACATTCCCTGATGGTTTTTTTTATAGAAACATTTACATTTAAACCTTTTACATTAATAATTAAAACATTTTAATTAAAAATTAACTCACAGCGGCCTAAAGCCTACAGCTAGGCCTAAAGCCTAGAACTAGGCCTCAAACTCTCCCTTTGTATCGTCCAATTAGGTGTAGCAACATCGCCCCCTACTGCAAACACTTGGCAGGACCCTACAAAAACCTTTACACTCAGTGAGGCTTTCCTGGCTAAACAAGTGTAATAATACATTATGTTTATATTCTTTGGGTATTCGTTCCTACCAGCCCACCCCACAGGGACCTGTTTATGTGCATATCCTATTAGTGGATTATTTGCAGTGAAACTTGGCATGCCTAACAGCCTCGCTGTTAAAATGCAAAGCGTTTAAGGAGGTTGGCCGTTCAGACACGTCGCTCCACCGGCGTTAGCCTGCACACACTGATTGACTGGCCACGGAGCAGTGTGAGGATTGAAAGGGTATGAGCCGTCAAATTCCAAGTGAAAGGGGTGGTCAGTTGGATCGGTAAGTTACATTAGCTCGGTTGAGTATGGTCGAGAAGGCCACGCAAAAAATAAAAAGCCTGGTTAACTGTCCCTTGAGGCGCCTTCCAGACACCCGTTATGAATGCATGTTCTGTCTTACTGACTGAATAAAGATAGCCCTTCTTGAAGCAAAGCTTGTGCTCGACTCCTTTACATCTGTAACGTAACGACTTCCGAGACACTGTCTGTAGAGGGCTTCTTTATTATTTTTCGTCGGCATACAGCTACGACTTAAGGACACAGTCACAGGTTATTTAGCGCTGACTGACTATATACCTGGCTGACTATACAGCGACAACAGCGATGCCTAACTATATAGCTGATTGACTATATAGCGACGACGGCGACGGAGAGACGACAGTGATGACGATGACAGCGGCGACCACCAGAACCCCGAACCCCTCGGTGCCCAGAACCCCATTCCTCTCTGCCTTTTATCCTCCCAGCATGGCCATGCCCCGCCCCTGGCCACGCCCCTCTTCTCGCACTCTCCCGCGGGTTCTGGGAGCTTCCGGATAAATCCTCTCTTTGACCCTTGGCCTAGTTTTCCCCCCTTGTGGTTGCTCACGTGCATACTCTCTTCTGTAGTTTGTGTGCAATTCTCCCACCCGTAATTAGTCCTTTTGACCACCAGTCGGCGCACTGTCTCTACACATGTGTGAAGATAAATATTCACCACCATTAATAAGCTTTGCATTGGGATTTGTTCCACTCTGATAATGACTATCTTCTTTTGACAGAAATTTGTTGTCGTGGGCATGGACCTGAAGTACGAACCATAGGTGGGAGGTCCGGGGGCCACCAGAGCTGCCCACATCGCCTTGGATGGGATCGGCCACCGTGGTGTCACCGATGCTTCATGGCCTCACATGGCAGCGTGTGGGGTCATTCTGCTTGGGAACGTTTTATTTGGTAATCCTGAGGGGGACTATCATTCATTGATTACCAGAATATAACAATAATTAATAAATGATGTTAGGGTTCGGCCAGGTATTGAACCCTCCACTACCCGACGTAATTATGAATCGTAATATTGATTGTGGAAATATAACTACTGTATGCTAATTAACTCTCTTTAAATGAATTATTCTATGTGATTACAAAATACAATAATCATAACTTGGTTCATGATTGTTTTGCTACTTTCCATTCATTGTCTAGTATATTGGTTCAGCATATGTAAGCATGTTGTGACCGATGCTGTCTGTTTGGAAATATGGGTGTGGTGTGTTGCTTTTGCAAAATAAACCGTGATGATGAAATGTGGAGTGTGCTATGGTTAATTCATCTCGCAATATTAACCAGGGGCCCCGGCTCATGCGATGACCACAGTGTGTGACAGGATGCTCACTCACGTGGCCTATAATCCAGCACTGCTGTAGTGGCATTGAGGGCTGGTGGATTGCACATACGTTGTGACGCTGCATTCCCATTGACGTCGATGAGCTGCGATACCCTGGTTCGCCAGAAGATGGCGGTACAGGAAGTGTGGACTAATCTGTTGCCATCTGTACGGGGATGGAGCATTGCCTCCTCACATGCGTGGGTCTTCTCCGGGTGTTCCGGTTTCCTCCCACTTGTGTAATAAACACTCATCATGAATTGGCTGAAAACATCTTAAAATAAATACCCAAAAAAGAGTCCAGTGACTCAGTGTGGTTGTCCTGGATATACAAGTAAAAAAACTTTCCTGCTCGTTACGTGCCAGTGTAATATCCATATAAGACCGTGTCTATGCATATAAAAGGATTGAGGTCTTGTATGGAGAGTCGCTCAACACTCTTCGGGTGAACCGAGGGGATGAAGTCCCGGCATGGGCAGCGAAGACGGGCGGAGGGGACTCGGCCCCTGCGGCACGACGGTGCGAGGGGTGGGGGGGGAACACGCGTGGCGGGTGAGGATCTGGACAAAACCGTGTATTTGAGAGGTCCCTGAATTCAGCTAACGAAAGATACAAGTTGAGTCTTGACTTAAAGCTTTCGTGACTGCAGGAATTCATACTCTTTGGGTCTTTCGGTAAAGTCACGTAGATAGAAAAATAATTGTAAAAATCACGACGTTTCAATCGCAAAACAAGCAATCGTCTTCAGGTGAAATAAGTTATGTTAAAAACTTTTTTTTTAAACACGCTTTAATGAATTGTATCGTGCGAGTAATGGAAGAACTCCACGACTCCAGGAAGTGGTCCCGAAGCTTGCCATAACGTAAGGGACCGTGGTCAGTTACAGCCAACGTCAGTTGACGGTGGATAATTAGACCCAAGCCGAAACATAACATGTCAAAAATATTGTTTACAATTTTTTATTATTATTATTATTATAGAATATAGTATTGTCATCAGCATGACATAAGTATACCAAGTTTGCAGTCGATACCACATTGGGAAGTGGGTTAAAATTGAGTTACAAGATTTGAGGATACAACAACATTTTTCGATTTAAAGCTTTCGTGACTGCAGGGATTCATCTTCTTGGTTCTTTCGGTAAAGTCACGTAGAAGGGAAGTAATAAAATAATAAAAATAAAACATAATAAAATAACAACAACAACAACAGAGTTAAATAAAAGCGTGTAAATAAAATACAGCAGGCGAACTGCTGAAGGCAGGATCTCAGCAGTTCGCCTGCTGTATTTTTTCACCTGAAGATGATTGCTTGTGTTGAGAACGAAACGTGATTTTTTTATTTTTCTATCTACGTGACTTTACCGAAAGACCCAAAGAGTATACAAGTTCAGGTTGAATATTTTTTTTTACATTTAAAATTCTTGTGTTATTGATCACGTTATTGTATCGTTTTTACGTATTTACTTGTATTGCCTATCTGGGCTTCATTTGAAATGTGTCTTAAGCGAGACCAACATCTTCAGTTTAAGCGAGACCAACATCACACCACCACGATTAGTCCGAGCCCTGCTCGGCTGCCAGAGATCCAGATATATATTCTTGGTTGTTTCGGTAAGGTCAAGTAGAAGGGAAATAATAAATAATAAAAATAAACAATACAATTCTCACGACGTTTCGATTGCAACACAATCAATCATCATCAGGTGATGCAATCGAAACGTTGTGAGAATTGTATTGTTTTATTTTTATTATTTTATTATTTCCCTTCTACGAGACTTTACCGAAAGAACCAAGAATATGAATCCCTGCAGTCACGAAAGCTTTAAATCGAAAAAGATCCAGATATCTTCTTGTGAGGCCAGCATCATATCACGGTTTAGAGAAAAAAATGACAAGTTTTATTTTACCAGGTAAGGCCCACTGAACCATATAGCTCCTGTTCAGAAGCGAGCTGGCCACAAATACTAGCTCATAGAAGAGGAGGAGGAAGAGGATGAGGAGGATGAGGAGGGGGATGAGGAGGATGAGGAGGATCAAGAGGATCAGGATGAGGAGGATGATGAGGATGAGGAGGAGGAAGATGAGGATGAGGAGAAGGATAAAGATGATGATACAGAGGAGGATGAGGAGGAGGATGAAGAAGATGAGGAGGATGAGGAGGATGAGGAGAAGGAAGAGGAGGATGAGGATGAAGATGATGATACAGAGGAGGAGGAGGATGAGGAGGAGGCGGCGTTATTTTGTTGGTGACCGTGGCGGCCTCTAGTGGAGGGAGCGATCCCGCACAATGTGACAGCACAACGCAGACAATCCACGCGAGTGTCGCCTGCGATGGAGTCGGTGCGAACCGATTAATCGATTACCGCTCCCACCCCCCGTGTTAAGTGCGAACCCGGACGATCGACTCCATAGGCATATCGATTACTCCCACAAGAATCGATTCCACGAACTGAGAGGTTCTGCGTTTTGCGAGTGGGAATCGACGAACCCGGCGAATCGATGTCGCGGGAATCGCGAGTGTCATCCAGGCGGAGGCGGCATGGCGGACCGCAGCGCGGGCGAGTGGTGCCTCATTGAGAGCGACCCCGGAGTCTTCACCGAACTCATCCGGGGATTCGGTGCGTGCCGAGCCGGGCCGAGCCGCGTGTCAGAGCGCCGGTGTTGAGTTGCTCCGCGTGCGCGAGTTCCCGGCTCCTTCCTCCCTCTATCGCCTCCCTCTCCTCCTCCTCCCTCTCTCGCCCTCTCTCCATGCTCGGGGCGCGACGCCGACCCCTGAGCTGTGTGCACGTGTGTTTGTGTGTTTGTGTGCACGTGTGTTTGTGTGCACGTGTGTTTGTGTGCACGTGTGTTTGTGTGCACGTGTGTTTGTGTGCACGTGTGTTTGTGTGCACGTGTGTTTGTGTGCACGTGTGTTTGTGTGTTTGTGTGCACGCGTGTTTGTGTGTTTGTGTGCACGTGTGTTTGTGTGCACGCGTGTTTGTGTGCACGTGTGTTTGTGTGTTTGTGTGCACGTGTGTTTGTGTGCACGTGTGTTTGTGTGTTTGTGTGCACGTGTGTTTGTGTGCACGTGTGTTTGTGTGTTTGTGTGCTTGTGTGTTTGTGTGCACGTGTGTTTGTGTGTTTGTGTGCACGCGTGTTTGTGTGTTTGTGTGCACGTGTGTTTGTGTGCACGCGTGTTTGTGTGCACGTGTGTTTGTGTGTTTGTGTGCACGCGTGTTTGTGTGTTTGTGTGCACGTGTGTTTGTGTGCACGCGTGTTTGTGTGCACGTGTGTTTGTGTGTTTGTGTGCACGTGTGTTTGTGTGTTTGTGTGCACGTGTGTTTGTGTGCACGTGTGTTTGTGTGTTTGTGTGCACGCGTGTTTGTGTGCACGTGTGTTTGTGTGTTTGTGTGCACGCGTGTTTGTGTGTTTGTGTGCACGTGTGTTTGTGTGCACGCGTGTTTGTGTGCAAGTGTGTTTGTGTGTTTGTGTGCACGTGTGTTTGTGTGTTTGTGTGCACGTGTGTTTGTGTGCACGTGTGTTTGTGTGTTTGTGTGCACTCGTGTTTGTGTGCACGTGTGTTTGGTGTGTTTGTGTGCACGTGTGTTTGTGTGCACGGTGTGTTTGTGTGCACGTGTGTTTTGTGTGCACGTGTGTTTGTGTGTTTGTGTGCACGTGTGTTTGTGTGCACGCGTGTTTGTGTGTTTGTGTGCACGTGTGTTTGTGTGTTTGTGTGCACGTGTGTTTGTGTGTTTGTGTGCACGTGTGTTTGTGTGCACGTGTGCTTTGTGTGCACGTGTGTTTGTTGTGTTTGTGTGCCGTGTGTTTGTGTGCACGCGTGTTTGTGTGTTTGTGTGCACGTGTGTTTGTGTGCACGTGTGTGTGTGTGTTTGTGTGCACGTGTGTTTGTGTGCACGTGTGTTGTGTGTTTGTGTGCACGTGTGTTTGTGTGCACGCGTGTTTGTGTGCACACGTGTTTGTGTGCACGCGTGTTTGTGTGCACACGTGTTTGTGTGCACGTGTGTTTGTGTGTTTGTGTGCACGTGTGTTTGTGTGCACGTGTGTTTGTGTGTTTGTGTGCACGTGTGTTTGTGTGCACGCGTGTTTGTGTGCACGCGTGTTTGTGTGCACGCGTGTTTGTGTGCACGCGTGTTTGTGTGCACGCGTGTTTGTGTGCACGCGTGTCTGTGTGCACGCGTGTTTGTGTGCACGTGTGCACGCGTGTTTGTGTGCACGCGTGTTTGTGTGCACGCGTGTTTGTGTGCACGTGTGCACGCGTGTTTGTGTGCACGCGTGTCTGTGTGCACGCGTGTCTGTGTGCACGCGTGTCTGTGTGCACGCGTGTTTGTGTGCACGTGTGTTTGTGTGAGTAAGGGGAGTGGTGGCGCAGTGGTGAGCGCGCTGCGCGACGCTCACGGCAAACACCGGTGACGACTATCTGAACCGGACCCGGGCCTCCCCTAGGGTGACTCAGCCTCAAATGAGTACCTGCTGCGATGTGTAAACATCGCCACTGGAGAGACAAAGGCGGTCGGGCGTGGTGCTGGCCACCCACCCCCTTGTGTACCGTTCCGGCCTTCATAGGTGCTCGCTAACAGCACTTGCACCAACAATCGGTAGGGGGAGTGGGGAGTGCAGTTGGTGCAACTTGCCAGTCATCTCGGTCAGTCAAGCCATGACACATGTGTTTGTTCCGTGGCCTGCCAGTGGGCCTTCGATACTCCACGTGGCCCCAAAGTGTGCACCAAGCATGGCAAAAACGCCGTGGTGACATCACAGCCACTTTGTGGTGAACCGCGTGTGTGGGTTTCAGTTCGTGTGTGTGCGTGTGTGTGTGCATGTGGGTGTGTGTGTGTGCATGTGGGGGTGTGTGCATGTGTGTGTGTGCATGTGGGTGTGTGTGTGCATGTGGGTGTGTAGCGGTTAGTGCGTTGTGCTA